ATTATCAATAAAAAATTAATTATTTAAAGTTATAAAAATATTACCAAATACATAATACTATAATTTAGTACTTTAAAATTTGAAATTGGGTAGAGAAAAACTTGTTTAAATTTCTTAAAAGGGAAAAATATTTGTAATGGTAATTGTAAAGATGAGGAATGCTAGGGGCACTCGCTTCCTGCACTTTCCGGCCAACACTTCCCCTTTCATTGGGCCACGTAAACTTCTTTAAAAAGCTTTCCGGCGCAACCTCTAAGCCAAAATAACGTGGCCCAATAAAAGAGAAAGTGTTGGCCGGAGAGTGCAGAAAGCGAGTGCCCTTAGCATTGCTCTTGTAAAGATTTAGAAAAGAATAAAAAAACCCAAAAGAGAACGAGAAATTTTTTTCATGAAACAACTTAGTGTTTTTTAAATGATTTTTTTCTACAGTAAATTTTTCATGGCCCCAAATAATCACTAATTTCTTTCCTCCACCGAACGGCCCCTACTTATCCAAAAACTCACTTTGTCCTACGTAGAAAGAAGCAGAGGAAGCTTTAACAATGGCGACTCTGAGGAATAGAGGGGTGTTTCGGGTGTCGGTTTGCGGCCAGGAGGAGTTAGAACATCTGTCTAGAGACAGTAGCCATTACAGTCTCTCTACCGGAATCCTTCCTTCTCTTGGAGCAAGAAGTAACCGGAGAGTCAAGCTCCGGCGATTCATTATCTCTCCATATGATCGGCGCTACAGGTGATGGATTGTTTTCGCCTTATCCGTTACTTAAAATCCTGATTTCTTCTTCTCTTTCCGATCTTTCTACTCTGATTGCTACGTGTTTGCTTTTATGATCCTCAGAGTTTTTAGTTATGACTTAAACCGCCATTATTGAGATGATGAATGTAAGATTCTGAGGTTTTTTTTTTTTTTTTTGGCTTCTTTTTTTATTCTTTTGACACCGATGGGAGCAAGGAAGAAAACCCACATTACTAATAATAAAGTATATCATCTTGTTTTGTAAGTATTCTTAATTGCTCAATTGTATTTACAAATTTTCAAGTATTTGTGTTATGTGATTCTGGGTATTCTTTGGGATTTCAAAGTTTGTTCTTTTCCTTATTCTCTTTTTCTTCCTTGATTCCGACTTTGTTCTTTTCCGTTTCCAGTTTGTGTTTCCCGTTTTTGTTATTTACTTTTGTCTCTATTCTTCTCTTTCAGGGTGTGTGGATAAGGACAACTGTGATTCTTTTTTCCCTCTATTAAAATTAATTTCTTTTTTCGTTTCATTTATTTCACCCTCCTGTTACTTTTTTTATATTTGTATTTCGTACATAATATTAAAGTAAACTTTCTAAGAATGGGATTTTAGTTGGAAGCTATCCTGGATTATGATTATTATTCTTCTTCTTTAAATTCCAGGCTGATTCTTTTTCTGTAAAGCTTCATCTTTATTTAATTTAATAATTATAATTATTTTGTGTTTATATGTGCTCTGTATCACTCTGAACCAATCACTAGTTACTTATACTCATTCAGAGTGATTCTGTTGAATTTTCAATAGTCAGGTTTTTGAATCCAACCATAGACTCCTGTGGAAATCACTCTGCAGGTTGCCTATCATCTGTAATTCTTAACTTTTCCGTGGTTGCTGTCTAACTTGTTTTAATAAGAATGATGTGGGTAATAATTTGGTTGGCTTGATATGTTGAAAGAAGAAAATTTGACATTTTCAGTTGAATTTGATTCTTTTCTGGAGGTCTTACATGTAATAGTTCAATTGCTGCTAAAAATTCAGTTTCCATTTTTTCCTTCGTGCTTGTAATTTTGGTTGGTTTGTTCTGTTTGGTGCATATAGAGTGAATTTAAAAGCTTTTTAGGCAATTTGGAGACAGAAGGAAAGAAAAATGCTTGCTAAAATTTTGTTCTATTAAACTAATTCTTGCAGGGTATGGGAGACTTTTCTTGTTCTTTTGGTCATCTACACTGCTTGGGTATCACCTTTCGAGTTTGGATTTCTTAGAAACCCAGAAAGATCCCTAGCCATAGCAGATAATGTCGTCAATGGATTCTTTGCCGTGGATATTTTTCTTACTTTCTTTGTAGCCTACCTTGATAAAACTACTTACCTCCTTGTTGACAATCCAAAGAAGATTGCCTGGAAGTATGGAAGTTCCTGGTTGGCTCTTGACATCATATCCACCATCCCATCTGAGCTTGCTCAGAAGATTTCCCCTAAACCATTACGGTCATATGGCTTGTTCAATATGCTTCGCCTATGGCGTCTCCGTAGAGTTAGTGCCTTGTTTTCGAGGTACAGAGTTTTCCTTGCATAAGCTAGCTGTCAGCTCTATAAAAGCAGGAATTAATATTATATTTTTCTCAAATGTGGTTTGAGTCCTTTGTGCAAACTTTGTTTCTACTTATTATTGATTTCAGACTGGAGAAAGACAGGAACTACAACTACTTTTGGATTCGATGTGCAAAACTTATCTGTGTGAGTTCTAAAAAATACATGTATTTTTATTATTAATTATTATTTACATTGCTGATTACTTTTGTAGTGTTGGACCATTTACTAAGAGCTAAATGCTCTACGTAGGTTACACTGTTTGCTGTTCATTGTGCTGCATGCTTCTATTATCTTATTGCGGCACGTTATCGTGATCCTGCAAAAACATGGATTGGAGCTGCACTCGGAGAGAATTTCCTGGAGCAGAGTGTGTGGAATCGATATGTGACATCAATTTACTGGTCAATCACTACTCTAACAACTGTGGGATATGGTGATTTGCACCCTGTGAATATAAGGGAGATGATCTTTGACATCTTCTATATGTTCTTCAACCTTGGATTGACAGCATATTTGATTGGTAACATGACGAACTTGGTTGTCCATGGAACCAGTCGAACTAGAAGATTTGTAAGTCATATAGTTTTCTAAACTAATGAACTTGTTAAGTGATGAAGATCTTGAAATTTTTTAGTTCTAATGTCTCTTCTTGCTACTTTTTGTATTTTTATTATCCACTCTCTTTCTCTAAGAGGGATACCATCCAAGCTGCTTCAAGTTTTGCTCAAAGGAACCAATTGCCTCCTCGCCTACAAGATCAGATGCTTGCACATTTGTGTTTGAAATTCAGGACAGATTCTGAGGGATTGCAGCAACAAGAGACTCTTGATTCCCTTCCTAAAGCCATTCGATCAAGTATTTCGCATTATCTTTTCTACTCTCTTGTGGATAAGGTTTACTTGTTCCATGGAGTTTCCAATGACTTACTTTTCCAGCTGGTAATCCACTGAAGACATCTTCTTGGAATGGTTTCTATAATCGTTTCCTTTTTCCCCCCTTTAAATTTCTGCCTCAAGAATTCCTTTTTCTTTGCTTTATGTCTGCTGAATATTTATTTTTGTGAAATGTCTAAGGTCTCAGAGATGAAAGCTGAATATTTTCCTCCAAAAGAAGATGTGATTCTACAGAATGAAGCACCAACAGATTTCTACATCCTTGTCAGTGGTGCTGTGGTAATAAGCTAACTCTTCCTAGAAGTTACAATTGCTCGTTGAATCTTTTGGTCAGGTTTTATTACAACTGTAAAGCTAGACTTTGTATTTTATGTGCTCATGTGAATTATGGGATTGAAATTCGGACATTTCATTTTTCTAAATTTAACAGACTAAGCCATTGATGTTTGTATTATTTCATAGGATCTACTGGTTCTCAAGAATGGAGGTGAACAGGCAAGCTTTGTAAAAAACGTTCCTCATTTTATTTTCCGTCTTTCACAAACAGGATGGTATCTGATTAACAGTTAATAAAATTCCAGGTTGTTGGAGAGGCAAAATCTGGTGATCTTTGTGGTGAGATAGGAGTACTTTGCTATAGGCCCCAGCTCTTTACAGTGCGGACAAAACGATTGTGCCAACTGCTTCGGCTAAACCGTACAACATTTTTAAATATTGTTCAGGCCAATGTTGGAGATGGAACCATAATCATGAATAATGTGCTGCAGGTACACTCACTCTATGTAACAATTTAGGCTATTGACATGCATAATATGTAAAAGAATACCTTTTCTTGTAGTCATTCCATGTAAGATATAGCACAAATTATTGTCTGCAGCTCTACTGCAAAAGCTGAAACTGAGCAAACAAATTTTTTTTTGAAAAGTACACTTTGTTTTCTAAAGGCTGTTTTCATCTTCTAAAGGGCTACAAGCCGAAGCTACATATTTGTAGTTTCTGGTATAAAGCTTTTGATGTTAAGCTTCTAAATTTAATAATTTTTATCAATTTCTAAAATTTTATATGAATTCATGTTTCGACACTTCTGCAAAAGCTCTACTCCAACAACACTTCTAAAAAAGTTACAACTAATAGGATCTAAGGTTAACATGCAATAGAATTTATGGCACATAGATGCTATTGAACACTCTTTCTTGGTGGATCAGCATTTAAAAGACCTGGATGACCCAATTATGCAAGGAGTATTGCTGGAGACAGAGAACATGCTGACTCGTGGTAGAATGGATCTACCTCTCAATCTTTGCTTTGCCACACTCAGAGGAGATGACTCACTGTTGCATCAACTGTTGAAACGGGGGCTTGATTGTAATGAGTCAGACAACAATGGGAGGACAGCTCTGGTTTGTGAAATTCTTTGGCTTTCATATTCTGTCAGTACCTGAATTGCTTAATAATGGTGCTAAATTCCTTTTACATGTTTGCTTTGCATAAAATTAGCATATAGCAGCATCAAAAGGAAGTGTGAACTGCGTGGTTCTCTTGCAGGATTATGGTGCAGATCCTAACTGCAAAGGTATTCTCAGCTGATTGCTAACTTAAATGATGAAGGCCAATTTGTCCTAACCAACTAATCTTGATTTTCACCATCTTCCTATTTACTTGTGCTCCTTAAGGATTCTTGAACGTTTTGGTTCTTTAATTTTAAAGCAGTATTTTGACCGACTGTCTTCTTTCCCTATTCAATAGTTCCGCTTAAAGGAGTGGAAAGTTTACCTCCAGGTTTTTTAGCAAAATGTTTAGTTAATAAAGTTTTGATTGTCATGATGACTCTGTACCTTTGCAAAAAGGGTGCTAGCCACAGCACCTATAATATATTTGAGTTGAAAGAAATAGAGGCGATGGGAGGGGAGAAAAGAAATGTTTTCTAATTGATCAAATTATAATATTTTTAAAATGTTATAATTTGATTACAAAAATATAAAAATCAAGATGTTTTGAGCGTCAAGATGTTTTGAGCGTCAAGACGTCTTGATTTTTTAGACTTTCATTTGATTAATAAAAAAATCTTCCCCTCCCCTCCCCTCTATCTTTCTTAACCCAAACAGATGGTTAGGGTTTTCTCTGCAGCATATTTAAACATTATGAGATGATTTTAAGCCCAACACATCAGCTCAATCTATTTTTGCAACACTTTTAAACACTAGTTCATATATTTAGACGTAAAACTGACAATTTTATTTTTATTATTTTTATTTTTTGGCATTTTTGAAAAAATAATTAAAAAAAGAATAAAAATGCCTCCATTGCCTACTTCTTTTTATTCGGCTCAACGGGTTGGATGGCCAAAACTGCATTTGTTGAAAATCACTAAATCAATTAAGTTTATATTATACAGACTTATTATTCTTGACTTTCCTATTATTGAAAAATAATCTTTTATGTTTACGGCCCAAGAAAGAAAAATAAAATCTTATCTATGGATGTATTATTTATAGATGTATTATTTATATGATTCTAAGCTATGTTAAAAGTTTACCCTCCACCATGGACTGAGGCTGATTGTAGTTGATTATCTTTTTTTTCCTAGCTAATACCATTCCCCTGCCTTTCTCTCTCTTGAAATCATAAACTCCCTCTGTTTAATTTTAGTACGCATGGTAAAAAAAACCTAGTAGAGCAAAGTCCAGAGAAAGCAGCTAGGGGGTGGCGGTTCTTTGCCGCCGTCTCCCACCCTACTGCCCCCCCCAACACAAAACTCTTCCTCCCTTTCCCTTTCTCCCTTCTGTCCTCCTTCCTCCTCCATCTCCCCTTAAGAGCTTATTTGATATAATAGTTAAAATTTAATAGATGATAAGTAGGGAGTAGTAAATAACAAATAGTGGTAATAGGTAATAGGTGGGATGATGAGTGGCAAATAGCAGTTGGTAGATAGTAGATAGTATATAACGAATTCGATTAATATAATTATATGTTTAGTTATACAATAGTTAATAATTATTTAAAATTAAATGACTGTTAAAAACATATTTAAAAACAATTAGCAGTTGGTAAATAGCAGATGGTATATAACGAATTCGATTAATATAATTATATGTTTAGTTATACAATAGTTAATAGTTGTTTAAAATTAAATGACTGTTAAACGCATATTTAAAAACAATTAGGTATATATATTTTTATATTTTTTATCATTAAAATTATTAATTTTATAAAAATAATAAAGAACAAATAAATAAATAAATTATAATAGTATAATTATACACTAATTTTTTTAATAAAAAAATTTATATTAGTTCTAAACAAAGTACAACAAATTTTAATCCTTTAGTCCAATTAGCAAATTTTGTTTATTAAATTAATATTTTTTTTATAATAAATTAATGTAAAAATAAAAATATAATAATTACTTAATATCGTTAAAGACAAAAAATAAAATTGAAACTAATTAGATTAGTATTAAAATTAAAAACCATGGCCAAAAATTAAAAAATTAAAAAAGATAAATTTGTCAATAAAATTATAAAATTTCAATCTGTTAGTAGTTTGATACAAAAAGTTATTTTTAGTAGCTTTTTTAATTTATTGGTAGTTCTGATCCTAATTGTTATCCCTTAGTTTCTAATTGTTATCCGTTAATTTTAAATTATTAAATCAAAAGTTTTACCAAATATTTTATTTATAACAATTTTAAAATAAATAAGTTTACCAAATATCTATTCTTAAAGTTTAGGTAAAATTACTAACTATTACCTCCAAACCATTATACCAACCCGGCTTTCAGCCTACACCCCTTCCTTGTCCCCTTTTAGCATCCCCTTTTGCCTACCCATCTCTTGCTCTGCTGTCAACCTTCTAGCCCCCCAACTTTCCTCCTTTGCTCCTTCTAGATCATTTGTTCATTCCTTTCACTCTTTTGCTTTAGGCAAATTTCTCTCGAATGTTGTTCAAAGTCCTGGCAATAGGATTCCGAAGTGAGATGAGTCCCTCCCCTTTAGGTAGCAAAGGAGTGCGGATTTGGCAAACGCTAGTTGTTGGAAGGTAGAGATTGGCGGTATAGGCTTGTAGGTGGGAGATAGATCAAGGAGCCCTATATCTCCCTTGAGCTAAAATTGTCATGGATTTGGTAAGGCTTTCATTGGGTAGGAACTGCTGTCAGCTGATAGTCCAAGTGCCTGCTTTCGTCAAAGGCTGGCATGACAAAGGGATGATCTAGAAGTCTACATGGCTCATCATGGTGATCTTACCACATCCATAGCTCTTTTAATGTCTACTATATTGATTGGTTTTACAATCTCTGGTGACAAGTGAGTCCTCTTCTTTTTTTTTTGGTTTTTCGTCCGATATTCGGGGTTTCACCCAAATTAATTCGGACCCAACACGCGTCGCGCACTTAGAAATAGTGGGTGAGTCTCCCAGCGGGAGCTGCTACATACACAACTCGAGACCTTACTTAAGTTGGAACAAGCCGCTTAGATCCAATCTCTCGTTGGTAGTGAGTCCTCTTCTGCTTAAGTGATTTATTTGTTATGGACACAAACTCCTCCGCAATTAATGTTATAGGATAGCTTCTCTTTTAGGCTGCATACAAATCTAATGTCTATTTCCGACTTCATTAATGGAGTACTCTTCAGCTTTTCAATATATATATATATATACACAAACCTCAGAAGCCTAGTCTTTTTTTTTGTCCGAACAAATAAAAATGTAGTAATTTATTGATAAAATTTTATATTTATTTTTCATGAATCACTATCTAAATAAGTTTTTTTACTTGATATATACTATAATTATCTTTTTAAATAAAAGTAAAATAGGAATAAATGCATGAAATGACATTTTAAAAAAAGAAAAGTGAACATCTAAAATTTAAATACCCTATTTAAAGTTACGTCTTTTTTTTTTTTTGAACAAATTCGTAAGGAGTCGGGTCCGAACCGTTATTTTGAGAAGAAAAAAATACACTTATATGTGGCCTGACGCCACTTACCAAAGGCCCAAGTGCAAAGTTAGATCTATTAATGTTGAATAGAAGGGAAAGTTTTATATTCCTCGTAGATCATGTTTGGTCGGATGGAGTTGGTACTACGTGGCCAAACTTAAAAATGAAGTAATATTAGGTAGGGAATGAATTTTCCGTACTTCGATAAATTTTCTTCTGATTAGTTGACAGAAGGAATAGCTAAAACCTAGGGGGAGGTGTTATTGGCCATTCCTTCCCCCTTTCAATTTATTAGAAGAAAATTAATGGAATCATGCAGTAGTTGTTCCTTATTTGCTTAGATACTGATTTACCTTATTTTTACAGTTTAGCCAAGGAATAAGCCCTGTTGGCTAAAAAAATTACATCATATTGGTGAGATTCACATTTTCTTTTCTGTGCTGTGGTATTTCCTCCCTCCCCCCCGAATTTAGTATTGCTATGTTCAGGAGACAAGTTCCTCTTTCAATTTAAAGCATGCGTTGCATGTCTTTGAATACTTAGGATAATTTATAAAGATTATTTTACATATATGCTTCAAAAATTACCTTATTAAATTCTACTTCATTCATGTAGACTCAGATGGGAATGTACCCCTATGGGAAGCTATGGTGGGTGGTCATAAAAAAGTGGTCAAGATGCTGATTGAAAATGGTGCAGATATCAATGCGGGAGACGTTGGTCACTTTGCATGCATTGCTGCTGAGCAGAATAACTTGGACTTGCTCAAGGAAATTGTTCATTGTGGAGGCAATGTAACACGTCCTCGAAGCAATGGTTCCACAGCTCTCCATGTAGCGGTATGTGAAGCCAACATTGAAATGGTCAAATTCCTGTTGAAGAACGGGGCTGATATTGACAAACCAGATGACGATGGCTGGACTCCAAGGGATCTAGCTGACCAACAAGGACATGAAGACATAAAAATGCTATTCCAGTCCTGTGCAGAGAACAAAACTAATTCAGTTGTTGCAATCCCAGAGAAGCAAGAGCCTCGCTACCTTGGGAGGTTTACAAGCGAGCCAGACATCCGTCCAGTAACCCAGGATTCCACAGACAGTTCATGGAGTAAATCCCGTACAAGGCGTAGGACTAATAACTTCCACAATTCACTATTTGGGATAATGTCAGCCGCACACAATGTGGAGAAAGATTTACTTCTTCGAATTCATCAGACTAGGAGTCCCAAGACTTCTAATGTTGATTCTGCTAGAGTGATAATTAGTTGCCCAGAAAGGGGAGAAATCACCGGGAAGCTTGTTCTACTTCCTGGGAGCTTTGAGGAGCTACTTGATATTGGTGCTAAGAAGTTTGGGGTAAGTCCCACTAAAGTTTTTATTAAAGACACAGCTGAGATTGAGGATATAGAGGTGATTAGAGATGGGGATCATCTTATTTTTGTTAGTGATGCTGGGATCCAAGATACTAACAGCCAAAACCCCCCAAAATAATATGGGTTTTTTTTTTTCTTTGGATTGATATATGATTCCATTTGCAAATCTAAGATCTTGGCTCTAGGTGGGTCACTATTTTGTTTTTCGCTTTTTTTGTGTTTCTTGTCAATATGAAATCCTTCAAAAGTTGAAGGACTCTTACCATGTTTCAGTCATTTGTAATGTTTGTATACTACTTTCTTATATTGGCTTTGGAAAAATGAAGAAAAAGAGGCCATTCCCTTTCAAGTTCAAAATCAAGTAATATCATGTAAATGAATTGAAATGGTGCTTCTTCACACTAGTGAGACAAACTAATAATTTTGAGACTATCTATTAGCTATTTTCCCTGACTCCATATTTGGAGCCAGAACAAAGGAGGAATTGAAAAATAATCATAAAGTATTGTTACATTTCTGATTTAGAACCTGCCTTGAGAAGAAGGAAAATAATGTACATCTTTTGTGCTTTCCTTGTTTTTCAGTTTTCTTCCCCTTTCCCCCACCCGTTTTCTGGGGAAAGTAAAAGATTCTTTCCATTGAATCTCTATGTAAGAGGCAATCACCCTTCTCCATGTCTGTCAATGGTTCTCTTCTGGGTAAACCTGCAATGTTAAAACAGTCTACCTCAATTTTCCCCGCTCATTGAAAATTTTTTTATATTTTATTTATTTATTTTATTTAGAATAAAGGGCTTTTTTGCATGCATTGTTAGAGATAAGTTTAATTGCAATTTGAAGTTATAGCCTTGCCTGGCCAGGCCTATCTTCACTGAAGCTTCTTGTTCTATGCTTCAACTCTCCTCTACTGGTAGTCAACAAATCCAGTAGCTCAAAATTGTCTCTATCTTCATCCCCTGAGCTATTTTCTTCCTGATCCTGATAACAGATGCATCATGAATCGCAGGTTAAACATGGCACACTGGTAAAATTCTTCACCTAAATGAACGAGAACATATATGGTTATACGCTTCTACCATATCTTCAAACCTTTTTGCCAAACACAGAAGAAACTATACTTTTTCTAAACATCCTATTGCAAATCAACACAGATACACAACCTGGCACTAAAGATGCCATTAGTCCAGTATAGCCCTTGGGAATCATCAGTCATTTGCTTTGTTAGGGAATAGGAAAAGAAAGTCATTGGAGATTCAACCATATATATGTATGGTAAAGTCAGTACCTGGAATCCATGACCATGACCATCCATTTCCTCATATTCTGCTGCGTCTAATGCTTGAAGGTGACTTGGATCAAAAAATTTGGGGAGAACATGCTGCCTTATGCTTATAAGCAAAAAGAATGGCAAAGGGAACAGTATTCCAGCAATTGGTATCCATGTCACTCCAAAACAAATCAGAAGATATAATAGTTGGAAGAGTGTAAATATTGAAATTTGCCTGAATGGCACTGACTCCACAAAAGCAGCATGCGCTCCTTCCAAAACCCTGTCCAAATTTGGTCCATATTCAGAGAGGTTATAAGCATTGAAGTAAAAAGGCACGACAAGGGCTGAATCAAACATTGACTTACTTGTAGCGCCGACTAGGAGTAATGAAAAGCAGCAATGTTCTTTCCCAGAGCTGACTCCCAGGAAGACTGTCAATGGCCATATAAGCGAAATATCCCCAGAGAACTGATGTGGGTATCTTCTTAATTACGGGCATGGCAAGCACAGATGCTGCAACAAGAAGGGACTGTAATAGGTTGGTAAGTCTTTGTTCATTAACCCGGACAGGCAGGTAAGTATCAATGTCCTTTTCTGGATCAAAACTACCATCAGTACTCTCTGCATCTTCACTTTTAAAAACTGCATTCTTCAAGTCCTTAAGCTCTTCAGCTGCGGAAGGCTGCAAGAATAACGAAAATACAAAATAAGTGGGTGTTGAAGGAAATATTTGCTTGCTTTTACATTAGTCAATGTCACATAAAAAATAAAAAAAAATCAGAGACCATAGCCAAGTGAGATTGCTTAGCTTGTTGAGAGAAAAAAAAATGGGAGCACTTACTGCTGGAGTTTTGTCAACTTCTATGAACACCTCCTGCATTCTGCCATAAATTTCAGAGTTGCTTGCATTTTGCTTCATGCACTCCTTGGCTCTCTTCACCATCTTCCTTTTAATTATCTGCATTAGTAAATCAAATTGTATAAACTACACATGTATAGAAGCTCAATGCTACTAGAAAAGACGTGGACTTCCCACTAAATTCCATTGACAGACCTGTTTTCTGAGAGTAGCAAGGCTTTTAGTGTGCATGGGAGATTGTGGGAGTACCCCATTGGATGGAGGCAGTCCAACCAGTCCGCATAGCAATGTCTAGATGACGAATTAAACAGAGGTTGTAATGAAGAATTAAGCACAAACTTTGTGATTGATATGATAAAAATGACTTTAGAGAAGAAGCTGAGCGGCCAAAAAAAAAAAGGAAAAAAGAAAGGAATAATGAATGCCGATCAAAAAGAAAAAGAAAAAAAGAAAAAAAAGGCCTGGTGAATCAGCTGCCATACCATGAAACCGAGAACTAAGATGTCATAATGATAAGCAGATGGCTTCTTGAGATTAAATTCCTCCTGTTGTGCCATTTGTGACGCAACACTATGGTCAAAAAAATAAAGACCAGCAACCATTATAGCTGGTATGAATGCAGCAAATATGTACATTGGTGGGACCTTACCCATGTCCTGCAATTTAAATGAAGAGAATGTACCTTTAGCTCTAATGTTCCTAATTTATATATACTATCAGAAAGGAAACTGTTTCTTATTTACACTGACCAATGCTGCAATGAAAGAAGATAGAAAAAGAGAAGCCTGGACAAAAAAGGAAAGGCATTAAGCTGTATCACTTTCAAGTTTTTACCTTGATCACTGACCAATGCTGCAATGAAGCAGGCTCCCAAGGAAGGGGACTCACAAGCCTCCTGGGAACATCAGAAGGAACATTTTCCGGTACACTAAAGGACAGTGCTGACCAAACTACAACCATCAATGGAACACCATAATCCGCAAGAAAGCTTCGAAACCATCCTACATATAATAGAGATGTAAAAAAAAATTCATCCAAGGACTAAGACCAATATTTTCATGATCAAACCGTCATCTCATTAACCCACTTCACATACCAGTTCCGTATTTCCATGATCTTGCCTTTGTGCTCTTTAAAGATGTTAAAAGTAGACCAAAGGTAAATACAACACCCAAAAGCCCGTTTACATATAACCACTGAAATTGATACTCTTCTGAATTCGGGTCGTCGCCTTCGGGAACCTTAAATTCACCTACCATTCCCTGTATTGAACTATCGAATGTCAAAATGAATGAAACACACGTTGTCATTTCAACTCTTAATCTCATGTGAAATGCAACTACCTTTATGGCCTGCTGAAGAAAAAGAACCGTTATTAACATGCCAAACAGTTCATCAGCAACCCTTGTAAATTTACAGATAATCGTACATGCATTGAAAATGGCAAGGAAAAAGAGAAGGAGAGCCGTCCAGACACACACCCTGCAGAGAAAAAAAAAAAAAAATCCCAGATCAATCGTATAACTTCCCTATTACAAAATTCACAAACTGGGAAGAGGATGGATGCTCTGTGTTTACTACCATCCAGCCCAAGCCAAGAACAACTCCTTTCCCAAATCGGGCCTTCCTTTAGCGAAACTGTACAGGTAATTATACATTATAACTGTTGGCTCTGCCACCCCTAAAATCAACAACGGTTGCCCACCAAATATTGAATGTATGATACCGCAAATGGCCGTCGAAGCTAAAGTTTCAACCGTGCTCAAGGTTCCATCTAACGAGGAAAAAAACAAAAAATCACATTAAAAGGCAGACTAAAACGAGACCCAAATTAAAACATTAGTAACGCTACAAATATAACGCTATCATGGCCGCATAATAAAAATAATATATTTATAATATTATTTAAAATTATAAATATAATATTTTATTAATATTATATATATTTATTTATTAAAACACTTTAATTATATACTTACAATTCTATTTTAGCCTTTGTAAGCATTGAGAGAAAATAATAATAATAAATGTCATGTCATGTTGTATTGTACATAGAAATGACAAACCTGTTTCTCTGCTAAGTTGCGCACCGAAGGCAATGACGGGAAGAGCTGAAGCGAAGAAAATGTAGGTAGTTGGCGCAAAAATCCTAACCCAGATGCAATTTAGGGTTACATTTTGAGAATGAGGGAAAACCTTACCAAAAATATAGAAAAAAGAGAAAATGAAACCTGGGGCCAGAGCGAAATGCAGAAATCCAATCCTCCTTGTAACATGCTTTTCTTTTTTGGAAATCGATGGAGATTCCTTTAAATGGGGATTTTATATTATCCATTTCTAAGTTTAAGGAATGAAACGATGATCGGATTAAATTAAAAACATGAGAAAGTAGATACGCCTTGTCTTCTCCGATGTGAAACGCAAACAAATTTAGAAACGAAAGCCTCCTGGAAATTTAATCGACGGTAGATGGAGCTGCCGTCTTATGGAAGGTGGGAGGAGATTATAAAGAAAATTTGGTAGTCGGAGAAGATTGGTGATGACGGGAAGAGGAGATGGTTAACCGACGACGTTGTTTCTGGTCTTTCCGGTGAGAGGAAAAATTCTGTCTTTGAATATCCGCGCCAATCGGGTGGTGTCCCCACAAAGGCCCTCGTTTCAGTTTATATGGAAATTTCAGTCACGTGTCGGACTCTTATTGGTAATTTGCAATGTCGTTACTTCCGTCAACGAGGGCCTACTATTTATATTATGAAAAACCACTTTTAGCCTTATGACTTTTCATTTTTTTCTCAATTAAGCCATTTAACTAAGTATTTTTTTTTTAATAAGAATATATTAACACAAAAAGCTAGAGTACATGACGTCAAAAGCTGTTGTCGGCGTTGTGATTAACATTTTGTTTTTTATTTTTTATTTTTTTTTATTTTAATTATACAATAAAAGTAACTATCTCTTATTTCTTATATGTATATTATACGATTTAAATCAAAATTTTTTATTTTGACAAAAATAAATAATTACTGAATTATTTAAATTTATTAGGAACTTAAATATACTTAATAGTTAATATATGACCATCGAGAAAATGTTGTTAAAGAAAGAGAAAATATAACTCAAGCTGACAGATTATCAGTTGACCCGAAAGGTGAGTTGTAAAAAATGTTTAATTTATTTGATTAAATCAATAATTATTAATTATTAATCAAACTCTAAACTAAACACCTCAGTTGTGTATTTTAACAGCCGACTAATTCTATCATTTGAATACTTCAAAATGCAAACAATATTTCTACTTTTATATTTAAAACGTAATGTTTATTTTAAACTCTAGAATTATAGCTTTTAAAGAAATAAAATTTCTCTAAAATTTATAATTTGATACAAAATTAGACTATTCAAATTATTTTTAATATAGTTTTAAAAGTTATTTAGATTAAGCACAAATAATTCTTCCTAACTCTATCCACAAGTAATCCTTGCCTAGGGTTCTGCTGAAAAGATTGGAGCTTTTACCCGTTTCCACCATCAAAAGTGTGCATGTTTCGATGTTCGACCATCTATGAGGTTAGAGAAGGAACCACAGACGATGCGTACGGGCTCTGTTCCAGCCTTGCTTTGCAAGTGTTAAAAACAAAGGCCTTCCTTAAAAAAAAAAAAAAAAAAGAAGAAGAAAAGGTTGAATTGAGAAGGAAGCTGAATAGACCATTCAATTTGTTTATTGTTCATGCTTGTTTCAATCTTATCACTATGGACTAGTAGAAGTTAAGTTTTTTCTTCTAAAATTATATGATACTTAATTGGCTTTGTAGTTAAAAGACTTTTTAATCTCTTCTAATTTTTCATGTTAATTAAAATAAAACTAAGACAAGTGACAATTCTAAATTATGTGAATTTATTTTCAAGATCAAGTTTGGACAATATAAAAGGACAAACAAAATTCTTATTTCAATATATAATTTTTGTTTAATAATTTTATATGTTCTAAAAAATTTTAAATTTCACATATATATATATATATATTACATAAAAGTATTACCTAAATTATACATAGAGGTACTTAAAAACTAAATATATAAACAGATAAATAACAACAGGGAGTAGAACAGAATAAGCCCTGCCCAAAATTAAGTGGGAGTCGGTTCCAAACCTATGTGAGGTTTTTTCCTTGATATTTTTCCGTTTTCCAAAGTTGTTGGTGAGTGTTTTGTTGAAAGGTTTGTTTATTAGTAGCGCCTAACAATGGTGTTTTGGTAGTTTTTGAGGTTATTTACACTAGATGCCCTTCTCGTGTTTGCTTTGCGGTTCTCATCATCTTTTCCTTTAGATGACATGGGTATTGGACTGATTAATTTCATAACTATTTTAAAAATTATTTTTTATAGATACTAGAGAAAACCATAAGAGTAATAAGTAATTAAATCAAAATGTGTAAACAATTATTATTCTTTTCAATATATTGAAAGTGCAAAACAGGATCCCAAACAGAATCCCCACAATCTGATAAGCATTGCAAAACAGGATCTCTAGAGTGAATCTCCTAAAACGTGGGGTGAGAAACAAAGGGGACAGACACAATATGCACAGTCTGTAACTCAACATATTGAAAGTGCACAACACCTTCTCTTCACTTGCAAAACAGCAGGGCAGATTTGGACATCCTGCTACAGTTGGTGGGGAATTGAGGTAGCTCAACACGGGTCAGGATGGGAACATCTGGAACAACACTCGGGCCTTTTCTTGAACAAAGACACAAGGGAAGCATGGGTGATTGTGTGGTTTGCAACTGTTTGGCACATTTGGCAGCTGAGAAATCAACTAATTTTTACTGGTAAGCCTGAAGACCAAAGCAGTGTTGTTGAGTTGATAAAGTTCCAAACATTACAGTGGCTCCAGGCAAATCTGTGGTAAGAATTATCTAAAGATTTGTGGTATGTATCCCCTGTTTACGCTTCTAATTTGGCAATGAGGTGCAAGTCTTAATATGGATGTAGCGTCAACTAAGGGGAATGATGAGAATTGCAGAAAGGTGTGGTAGAAGATAACAAGCAGGTGTGATGGAATTAGAGCAGAGTGCACATTAATTGTAATTTTGTATGGATAGGTTGGAGTATCCTTGTACTCTTAATAAATATGATTTTCTTTGCAGATAAAAAAAAAATTATTACCAAACTATCTGTTAAAAGTTAAAACTATAACAGAAAAGTGTTTTGTTAATATGGACAGCACTTTTTTTTGCATTTTGAATACTATAATTATCAAAATATCCTTAATAAAACTTCCCTCCATGTTTATTTATTAATGGTAATTTCAGTATTCAAACTGCACAAAAAATGCAGTCCATATTAAAGAAACAGCTTTCTCAAATTATAATTACCGAAACAAGCAAATTGGAAAAGTAGGCATTTGAAAGATAATTGCACAGTACAAATTTACACGACTAGTTCTTTAATGGATTGAAGTTGAGAGTCAGAATCAACTTGAAGACCTAATCCAAAATCAGGAGCTGCAATAATCAAGATCAAAACCAAAAATTTTAATAAATCAGAGAGGAAAACTGCAACCAGCCACTTGCTAAGAATATTGCATAGCACAAAATAAATACTTAGTACACTATAACACTCATTTCAGTTCAATTATTAAAAATTACTAGTACTTTCTGTGGGTAGAGAAATGGTCTTATATCTACTCCAGCGGATGACATGTAGCTTTTATACTGTTTACATTACCATCTACAACAAAGCATGCGGACAGTAATCTTGAGGTAAGAATTACATGTATACATCATCCTTCTGATTTTTCGTCATATTGCTAGTTTGATACTACCTCGCAAGGTAATAAGTTTAGAATTAGAACAACAAACCAGTCAAAACAAAAGACATGATAACAACTTAACTAATTATATTAGGGTATCATTTAGTCACATGCTAAAGGCGGAACCAAGCAATAAAGCAAATCTACCATCCGTGACCATTGTTGGTCATCAAATTCAAGGTAAAGGCAGTTTAACCATGCAAGAGCACTGATGGGGAAAAAGGATCTGGGATAACAAAGGATTGAGCAAACTTGCTAGCTAGTTGACATACAATAGAAACAGGGACATTCACCATCACCAAGAACAGTGGAATGTAAGGGTAAATGGAAAAGAAAGGCGATTAGTAGTCGAATAACTTGAAATAAAAAGAAAGAAAGAAAAAAAAAAAGCACTAACCAAGTACATACTCATCTAGCAATAGAAGTTTCGTAAACACGGACGGACGGAACTGAAGGTTCAAACTTTTACTGTTTCAAAATCCACAATTTAGAAGCCCATTACATTTCAGAAAAGTTAGAGAAAAGCATCCTAATGAAGGTGGGTTATATTAAAATATAAACACCACCACCTCAGACCACATTCTACCACTCTTCGCTGCAACTCCTCAGTGGATTCTCCTGGAAAGCTAGCTCAAATGAAGGATTAGCCATGAGTAAAAATTGTATCCACGTGGTAGTTGCTCATTTCCTTAGGTCAAATGCAAAAGGGTTGAATGAGTTGGCCTGTCACAATACCTGTAACACAAGTCTTGCATAGCCTCACATCTATCCACCTGTTAAAAGCCCAAACTATAATTACCAATATCTATTAAACACTGATGTATTAAACAACAGCAAGTGATTGCCAACCTTCTGTGATTTCTTGACTGCTACTGTCAACTGAAAGATCTGCATTTTGCTTTACAAGGGGAAACAGTGGCCCAATAGAGAGACTGCAATTCTAAATTGGTGATGGTGAGCATAATCACTCTTGAAGTCTGGAAGTTGCAAATTTATAAACCTTCTCCTTTGCTATTCAATAGCATGCTGAAGATCCTGTGGACTGTATATCATCTTTACTCCTGGAGATTAAACAATTCACATAAGTTAAAAGAAAAATGGATGCCACAACTCACTTCATCTCCCTTTCCATAAATCTGTGTACATAAACCACACAGAGAGTCAATCCCAAAGCTTGTTTGTTCACTTACATAGGTAGAGCTCATGCATCTCTTTAAAATCAAGCCTGCAAGCACAGTAGTTACCCATCTCTAACTGCTGCTGTAGATTTTGCCTCCTGCAAAATAGTTGCAAGATTAAAGCATGATGAGGTCAAGGCATAAAATGAAAGAGAAAATGAGAGAATGTCATACTTATCAGGGACTTTTTCTCTTTCCTAGTAGGGCTTCACAAGCACACATGAATTGCATATAAAACAAGGGTTTACTCTCTCCATCCAAAATGAACTTTACACTCCTTGCAGGGACAAATGTAACAAAACCAGACATTTACTTCTGCTGGCACAGGATCCTCACATCTTGAACTGGTCTAAATAAACTTTGGAAGGATATGACACGAATACAATTAAATTTATCAACACAAAACTAAAGAAATGTAATAAAAATTAGCCCATGAAAAAAATCAAGAAGACAAAAACTAGTTTAGCATCAAAATCATGGGCAAAGAGAAAAATATAGATTGCATGCCAACTCTATCCCAAAGACACAGGACTGGAAATAACTGAACTCTGAAGATGATCACATTAAAGATGATCACATTAAAAATAAAAATAAAAACATCACCTTTGACCACAATCTACAACCATCTGCCCCTGCTTGACTGTGCATTCTCCTGGATGACCTGGCTTAAATGAAGGAACAGCTATTGGTAAAACTTTTGCTGAACATGCAATTCTCCAAGTTAGTTCCTCTTTTCAGACTTGTGTGATCAGATATTTCATTGACAAAGTAGCAAAACTTCCAAAAGGGAAATATCCCAGGGAATTTTGTTAAAAAAAAAAAAGAAGTTAAAGTCTCCTTCTGGATCCCAAACTATAAAGTTAGTGTTTTATATTGGCTACAAAATCAGAAAACAATCATTTTGGCTTTTGTAACCAGGGCACATTGCCTCTGTTTGTAATCTCTCATGTAAATTAAATTAAAGAACTAGAAGTCCCAACAAGCAATATCACAAAACACTAAACTTTTCAGAGTCATTGCATATATAGAACACCTGAACAGAACAATACTCAGTTTCAACTCCCATAAAAAGAAAGCATCAATTAAATTAAAGAAACTAACACTGCTACTTCATGAATTAGCAAGAACTTGGAATGAGCCAACGGGGCACTTGGTCAGGCTTTAAGCATCTCTCTGAAGAAAACTGAGTAATCGGTGAAACTTCTCTATCCTTGAAGCTATAGATGCCCATATCAGTACCACAATAAAGGTGAAAACCCAAGGTATCATGAGTGAAGTAAATAGAGTCCCCCTTGCATCTGCTGAAATCTTTTGTTGATATTGACACAGATTGATTTTGGCCTAAAAACAAGGACCGATCATCCCCTAGAGTTTCCACTCGTACCCCCTTGTTTTCTTCCAAATCCAACTTAAACACATCAAATATTTCCGCTGTTATGCCACTGTTATTTTCTGGCACAAACCTGAAAACAAGCAGAATCTCCCCATTAGATTCAACCAGATAATCTCTATACCGGAAGAAATTTGGTCTCTCGAATGATTCCTCTGGCAGAAAATCTTCAATAGTTCTTCTTTTCTCCGGACGATCACCCCCTAAATCCCAAGTAGAGATCCATCCAGGGCCTAGGACATAGAGGTTGTTCCCACAGCACATAATGTCACAACATTCTATAAAGTTAGGAACTCCCAATCCACAGAATTGGATCCACGATCTGTCTCCTCCATTCTTATAATACAGAACCTCTTCTGTATTGTTGTAGTAGCATAGCAAAACCACCGCAAAATCTCCTCCAGTAGGTTCTGCTGTCAAAAAGGCTTTTGAGACAAAGGATTGCCGTACCTCTTGCTTCCACACCGTCACCCATTCATCATCCCCGCACAGGATTTTACACGTGCGTGCATCATCGCCTTCGCCTTCCTCAATTCCAGCAATGCCAAACAGAGGTTTCAATGAAGGAAGTTGTATGCGGGCCTCCGTGAAAGGGTTGAAGAGGAACGGAGTTAAACTTTTGTGGTCAGACAAAATCAGCCACCCGTGTGAGGAACCAATGCAACCAAACTCAGAAACCAGATCCGATGTTGTCTTCTTCAAATCGTAAACCCTGTTTTCTTCGAGATTCATGATGCGACCTCTGCCCATGCTGGTGTAGCCATCTTCTCCGAGCTGTTTTGGAGGAAGGATGAGCCATGGGGATTTCATGAAGCGCGTATGGGAGTCGGATGACAGGACAGAGGCTGCGGAAGAGTTACAGGCATGAGACACCACTTTTGCCCGAATAACGTCGATCAACGGCAGCCGCTTCATGATTGGGCAGAACAGATCTTCAGGAAGCTCGATTCTCCTTTTGATGTTCTGGCCGGTGGAGTCGCCGCATTCTTCTCTGCTTCGTTTCGTCATGATTCGAAATTGCAGAAAAACAAGGGTGTTGTTCATTTATATTGATAGAAGAAAAACAATGGCCGAGTTCTGCCACAACTAGAACTAAAAAGGTTAAAACCCATTTTAGTCCCTGAATTTTAGTGAAAAGAACTTTTGGGTCTCCATATTTTAAAAGTCTCGTTTTCATCCCCATGCCTTGAAAAGCACTTTTTTGGTCCAAAAGTTTTTTTTTTTTGTCCTTTTTAATCCATTTGTTAAGGTTTTACTGAGGTGACATGTTAATTAATGGAGCAAGTTTATTTTTTTCCTTCATATACAGCACGTTTCGAGTGCATAGAACGAGATTAAATTAGATTAAATTAGATTGAACGAGTTCATAAAAATAAAAATTTTTATTTAACGGTTAAGATTAGCAAACAATAGTTAGAGTCCAAATTACTAGTAAATTGAAAAAGCTAATTTAGGTAGTTTTTTGTACCAAATCACTAACAGATGAAATTTTTTAACTTTATTTATAAAGTTATCAATTTTTAATTTTTTTAATTTTTGTTAAGAAAAAAGTAATTTTTTGCCACAGTTTATAATTAATATTTATTTAATAAGTTTCAATTTTATTTTTTATATTTAATAAAATTATGTGGTTATTATATCTTTATTTTTTATATTAATTTATCATTAAAAAATATGTTATCTTAATAAACAACATTTACTAATTAGACAAAATGAATAATTTTTTATTTAAAAATAATATAATTTTTTCTTTGTTAAAAATAAAAATGAGGGTGTAATTACATTATTATAATTAATTTTATTTATTTATTTCTTATTATTATTTTTATAAAATTAATAACTTTAATAATAAAAAATAAAAGATATTTTAAAAAATACACCTAATTTTTTTAAATATGTCCTTATAAGTCATTTAATATTGAATAACAACTACTAATCATTGGACAATCAAACAATTACATCTATTGAATCCACCATATACTTTTCGTTATCCGCTAATCGTTATCCGTTATCCATTGAATTTAAACCGTTATATCAAACAGGCCCTAAAAATGACATCACGCAACACGTCATCAACTTTTGTCCACTTTGAATGCCATTTGTTGATGGTGGAAAAAAAATTATACAAAAAATTTAAAATTTTAACCTATGAAATGAAAAATGAATTTCTTATGCCCCAAAACTTTTAGGGTTAGGGTTTTGGAGACAACATGCATCTTGTTCGAGTGCTAAGCCCTCTCCCTTCTTTCTTGCATACAGACATTCCATCTTGCTTTAGTAACCTATAACCCTAGGTTTAGGCAACGATTAAAAATTGATTGTCATCTCTTGCTTGTGTTGTGTCATTTGCTATGGTGGTTATGTGTTTTCTTCTCTCTTGCGCCTCTATTCTAATTTTGATAAGAATGGCAAATGAAGAACTTAGTTGTGTGCTCAGCCAAGTTCATCTCACAAAGGATGAAGATGGCATCTGTCCCTTGCATATGGTTTAGAAACTAAAAGATTCAATGGTAGATAAGTTGCATTTAGTGGGGAAACTCCTTTCCCGAAGAAGGATCAATCTAAATAGTGTTCACAATGCTTTAATAGTCTCATGGAACCTTAGGGAAGCTTTTAAAATTTCTGAGATTGGGGAAAAGACCTATTTATTTCAATTGTCTAATATTGGAGATCTCAACAAAGCCCTATATAGAGGTCCTTGGAATTTTAGTAACTCACTGCTTATTCTCAAATGATTTCAAGCCTCTTTAACTACAAAACAATATAATTTTTCTACAAATCCATTTTGGCTTAGAATCTCTGATGTTCCTGTTGGTATATAGTCTAAACAAATTCGACACATGATGAGAGTTCCTTAGGGAAGGTTTAGGAAATAGATGAAAGTTTTTGTAAAGCTATTAGAATTAGAATTGATTTGGAGGTGGATAAGCCATTAAGAAGATTGAAAACTTCTCAAATTTTTGCTATGAAAAGTAAGAAACTTAGGATTAAATATGAAAGACTTTTGGAGTTTTATTTTGTTTATGGTTGTATGGACCATTTTGAGAATGATTGTGAAGTTACAAATAGTATAAAATATGCAAGGGGCAAATTTGTTGATCGATATGGGTCTTGGTTAAAAGTTGAATTGGAAAACTCTTGGTGCCTAGATGATTTTGATATTTTGGATGAAGCTTTTTGTGCAAATACTCAATTTTCTAATTGACAATAGGACTAAAGGGAATAAGGAGCATCATGCATTTGTGGCTAATGGAGCAAGCCAAATAGAGGGGAGTTAAGATGTTGCCATTGGAGATCTACATTGCCATTAGAAATCTACAAGCAAATAATTTTGTGGCCATCAATGCAAGCCAAATGGTGGGGAACAATGTTGATGCTGTGGGTGGGAATGTAGTAGAAATGGACCAACCTTTTGCTAAGACTGTGAAAAAAGATGTTGTTTTATCAGTTTTGATGGATAAACAATTAGTGGAGGTGCATTATCTCTTGAGTTTGGTGGTGTTAAAAGGGCAACAAGTCAAGGGTAAGTTACAAAAGGAGGTAAGGGCAAATGGAAAAGAATAAGACTTTACGTGGGACCCTTATTGCATGTGGATGAAACCAATCAAGGCAAAAGGAAGAGTTGTATAGCAATTTTGGGAGGAACAAAGGGCTTGTAAGGTGATTCTAAACAGCACAGGGGTGGCGATGGTTCCTGACGAGTTTGGTGTTGTCAGGGCACTACTCTTATTATATAAACAAACACTTTTCGTCTATCTACTAGTTAAAAGATTAATTATGCATGGATAGAGCATTGTAATGTTGCAAGATATTGCATCGCCAAGTCCATTAACTTCTATATTAAGTTTAGGTAGTAAAATAAATGTGTTTCTTCTTATGTTATTATATAATTTTATTGATACTCCTATAATGTATATTAATATTTAGAGATTCCTAATTTCTTAATGTCTTATTTGTATAGAACATTTAGTTTTATATGTTAATGTTAGGTAAAAACCTACTTTTAACCTTTTACCTTAATAAGTTTGTAGGTTTTAGTCCCTCACCTTATATTATGACACTCCTCACCTTATACTATGACACTCCTCACCTTATACTATGACACTCTTAGCCCCTCACATATACAAATTGAAGAAAATAGTTCTTACTTAACGTCAGATTATAATATTTTGTTAATTCTGTTAGCTGATTGTTAGTTCTATTAACTGATTGTTAGTTATGTTAACTAACTACTATTAGTTAACTATTAGCATTTCGTTAACGGAATTAACAAATAAAATTGAATTTAAACTTCATGTTTTTTTATAACGAAATGCTAACAGTCAACTAACATAACTAATAGTCAACTAATAGAATTATCAGTCAAACTAACAAGATATTAAATAAGAGTTATTTTGTTCAATTTGTATCAATGAGAGACTAAAAGTGTCATTGTAAAAGATGTGGGGTTAATACCTACAAATTTATTGAGGTAAAGAGTTAAAAAAAAATATTTGCCTTAATATTAAAGGTTATCCTTAATTTATTTATATTTTTTATGCAGCCTAACAAACATGGTTGTCAAAATCATGATTTAACTCATAAAATTGTAAGATTTTACGATTTTATCTATGCAATTCTTGTAAAATTGGAGTTAAAATCGGGATTCTGTAAACTTGAAACAGTAAAATTGTAGTAAAATCATAAAATCAGATAAAATCAAGATTTTACAAATTTATAAGGTTTTATAGATTTTTGTGTAGAATTGTGGCTAGTAATCACCCCGGGTTCATGGGTAGAGCTGTATTTAAAGGTTAGTCATGGGGGTGCGCGTTAGAATCTCCACCATGTAAATTGACAATTTTGAATTTTTGAGTTTTAAGCAAAAATTTTAAAGTTTTGTCAATTTTTTATAAGTTAAATTAATAATATTTTATTATAAATATTTGTTTAAGTCAAAATTATTAAACTTTAAAATAATTTAATAATTTAAAATAAAAGAATGTTAAAAAAAATTGAAATAATTAATTAATAATAAAATTTCTTAGATAAATTTTAAAATTAAACATTTGATATTAAATTTTAATAATATATAAATTTTAAATTAATTTAATAAACTTTTAATTTTATTGATTCAATTTTACAATTTTAATTTTATCACACCAAAATAATTTTAGCTAAACTCTTAATTTTGACAACTTTACTCACGAAGGTTCTTTAATTATTAATATAACTATGTTTTCTATTAAAAAAAATTGATTAAGCTACGAAACTACAAATTTGCCCGTCTCTCTATTCGTCTTGCCTCACTTAAATCACTTCCACCCATCGCTCACCTCCTCACCTCTTCCCTCCTCTCCATCCTCTTAGAACCCATTCGAGTTTTCTCAAGAACCAGTTTGGGTTCTTATGAGAATAAACGATCTGGGGTTCTTTAAGTAAACTCAAGAGATTACTTGATTACATATTTTGTTTCTAGTTCTTTTTTCTTTTTTTTTTTCTGAATTTCTTCCTCGAATTCAATTAACCTGAATGCTGAGGAATTTATAATCCTTCCTGGTGTTTAATTAGCATTCTTTTCTAAGCGAAAATCGAGGGTTCTTCATTGGATTCTTTTTTCGTTTTATGAAATTTCAATTCCCTTTTAATATCGTCGTGCTTAAAATTCATAAATGTTCTACCTAAAAATTGCAGATAGTGAAAATGGCCATGATCTCGTCTATCAAAATTAGTGTTGTAGCTCAGCTAGGCAGATACATCGATCTTTTGATGCGAATCGGCAATGAAACTGACAAGTGTAGTATTGGAAGTTTTGGAGTTTTCTAGGTTCTAAAGAAATCCCACTTTGAGCTTTTCTTTACAACCTCCACAAATTCCTGATCTTCTTGTTTTTCGAGTCAAGAAACAAAAAGCAAAATTTAAAGGTGAAGTTAGGAGACAAATTCTAATTCGGATTTGAGGTACCCCACCCTCGGTATATTTCCCTGGATCCTACTTAGATTTGATTCCCAAGCTCCTTTGCTAAGAGAATACTACCTAAAATTGACCCAGAAATCCTTGCTGAAATTTGATCGGAATTCTGCCAGAGATCACCCTATTCCCTTTGCTCTTTTTTCTTTAGTGGTGTGGCTGAAGCAGATCTGTCCGACGAAGACAGAAAATCGATGTAGGGAGGGAATGTAGCAACTGTGATACATAGAGGAGGGAGAAAGGAGTTGTGCGTAGAAGTTTATGGAAGTTGATGGTGAGGAGAGGGATCTGTCAAGGAAAGGGAGAAGGCTGGCGATTGAGAGGAAGAGAGGAGAATTTCCAGCGGTGCGTACCAAAGCTATGATGCGCCAATTAGAAGGGGATGACTTCAGCTGAGGGTGATGACTGATGAGAAAATAGATCTCTGGCTAAGGGGGCATGCAATGTGGATACAAAGGCGATGAATTTAGTGATTGGAGAAAAAGAAGGAAAATGGGGTAGGAGAAACGAGCAACAGTGAATGGAGAAGGATGGGTGAAGAAGATAGGCAAACTTGTAATTTCATAAGTTAGGGTTTTAAATTTTTTTTGTTTTATTTTTTCTATCATCCACTGTGGTAGTCGAGGTGGACAAAGGAGATGGACAGATAATTGTCGCGTGGGGCACATGATCTTTTTTTCCTTAAATTGGTCATAAATTCACAAAACCGTGGAGTCTAGGAGCTTCAAGTCGCAACTTTTTTCCCTTTTTTTTTTTTTTTTTGATAAAAATCAAGTCGCAACTTTACAGTAAGGAAATCAAGGGTTAAGCTTAGAAGGTCCAAGGAATATTTTTGTGTTGAAAAATAATTAATATATTTTTTATTTAATACAAATTATTATTTTTTAAAAAACTAATAATATGTAAAAAAACTTTTTTTTGATAATTTAGCTTTTTTTTCAATGATATAAGTATAATAATTTTATATTATTCTTATATAATTTTTATATATCATTAAATAAATAAATATATTTAA